ATATGTGTATGTGAAGGTGGCTATGTGTGTATGGTATATGTGTATGTATAGGTATATATGTGTGTATGGTATATGTGTATGTATAGCTACATGTGTGTGTATGGAACATGTGTATGTATAGGTACATGTGTGTGTATGGTATATGTGTATGTAGAGGCCGGAGACTGACATTGGGCATCTCTCCCTATTGTTGTCCACTTTGTTGCTGTTCACCAAACTTGGAGCTCACTAATTGGTAGACTGGCTGGCTAGTGCCCTATGATGGCCTGTCTGCTCACCTCCCAACCCTCCCTCTGCCCCATTGCCAGTGCTATAGTTACCCAGCACCTCTCTGGTCTTTGGTTTTTACAGTTTTACTGTGGGTGTCGTGGGGCTGAGCTCAGAGCACTCCACCCACAGAACCATCTTCTCAGCCAGTCTGTGCTGTCTTGTTTGTTGTGTGGGGTTTGAAGACATAGTCTTACCATGTAGCCTAGGCTGGCACCAATTGCAGGATTTCCCTGTCTCTGCCTTCCCAGTTTTGGGGTCTCAGGTATGTATCTCCATGTCTGCCTTGGCTGGTATTAATTTCCAACTCTGTTCTCCAGGCACACCAGATTTGGGGTTCTGAAGCTCCTTGCCCAACTCCTCTAGATTACAGAACTTTATGTAAGTGTTCCTCCCCCAACCCCCGTGCCCCACCTGTACCCAGTAAGCTGCCATTCCTACCCGCTTGTAGTCTAGGTTTTGACTGTGACCTTGGCTGTTTTCACGACTTCCAGGATCAGAGGCCATTTAATAAAGCTCTCTGCACTTCCGCCTCCGCCCCACTGACCTACCTGGCCACTTTGATTTATGAGACCTAACAGCGAAGAAAGTAGGGTTAGTTCTGACAGGGGAGGGGACACACCCAGCAGACACTCGACTTTCATCTGCTATTTAGGAAGTGCTTCAGAATGTCAGCGCATTTCAAGCTGAGCCTTGGAGCATAGCATGTAATCCTAGCTTTTCAGGAGGCCGAGGCAGGAGGATTGTAACTTGAGGAGCGGCTGGGGAACTTAGTGAGATGCTGTCACTAACTGAAAAATAAAAAGAGGCTGAGTGGAGAGCTCACCTTTAGTCTCAGCAGCCCAGCTCTGTGAACTCAAGACCAGCCAGGTCTGTGTAATGAGGTCCAGGTCAGCCACAGCGTAACTGGGGGGGGGGGGGGGGGGGGGGGGGGGGGGCAAAGACACATAGTATGATGGCTAGTGACTATAACCCTAGCACTTAGGAGGCTGAGGCAGGAGGATGAAGACAGGAGCACAGGGCTAACTAAGGCAACAAGAAACCCTGCCCCAAAAGAATAAAAGAAACAACATCACCACCCAAACTAGAAAGAAAGCAGCAGAAAGACGGCTAAGTAATGCAGTGATTTGCTTAGTGTGTGCAGGACTGTGTTCAGCCCTCAGTAGGGGACAAGAGGCCAGTCAGCTTCTCTCCTCATTCACAGCAGACTTTGCTGTACCTAAAGCACTTAGGTACCGTATGTGTCTCCACTCTAGGTGTGAAGCCACCAAAGCCAGGCTTTGAGCTCCTCATGAATTACAGGACTAGAGGGCAAAACCTCCTGAAACAAGTAAGAACTGTACCTTGTCATCTGCTCTGGGCCCTGGGCCCTGGGTGTGTCTGCAGAGTGCAGGGCTGGAGGTGTGGGCGTGCTTAGCACTGGTGAGAAAACAGCCTTCCTTTGTGCTCCGCTGAAAGGTGGGCTGTTCTGAGAGAGGCCTCCACACGTGTCCTGTGCAGACCTGTCGCTTGTTCAGGAAACAGGCTTCAGAGAGGATCTGGGGATGCAGTTCCCATCGCAGGCTCTGAGAGCTGGAGGACTCTGCCTCTTGTGACAGATGCACTAAGTTTGCAGGTGATCTGCCTTGCCGGGGACCCACCTTGGGTGCTGAGTGTCCCAGTCTTACCATCTTCACCTGCCTGCCCTGTGCTGCGGGGTCTGTTGTCCCTGCTCTCTTTGACATGGCCTCCCCCGACCAGCACTCTGACTGGACTGATCAGACCTTGTTTCAAATCCCAGTGCTCTGAAACAAGATGTTAAAATGAGGTCTTTTTATGCCGTAGGATTCTGGCAGAAGGGGCTGGTGGGGGTGACGACAGCTCAGCCACTGAGCGCTTGCCTTAGAAGCACAACTACCTTAGTTTAACCCCTAGAACTCATGCAGAAGCTGGGTGTGGTGCTGTGGGCTTGAAACTCCTTGTGCCGAGGAAGCAGAAGCAGTTGGATGGAGCCCCAAGGCTCACTGGCCAGCCAGCCAAGTCTACTGGGCATACAGCAGCCCAATGAGAGACCTTGGCTCAAGAAACAAGGTAGATGGCGTCTGAGAATCAAGCAATGAAGTGGTTTTCTGGTGTCTACCAGCACATGCATGCATATTCACACACATTACACACACAGAGGCACACACACACACACACACATATGAATAACATACACACGAACATGCACACAGAGACATACACACAAATGTCACACACATATGTACACGCGCACACATGAACATGCATACGCACACACAAACATACATGCCACATATACACAGGCATGCATGCAGAGAAACATACACACAGGGGCGTACACACATAAACACATGAACACACACAAACGCAGACATACACATGTATGAACACACACACGCTCACACTCATATACACAATTCTCTGGCAGGGATTCCTAAAGAATACGTTAAAAAGCAAAGAAAAAGTTATTTTTTCTATGTGCCCTCTGACTTCGTTTATTATAAAATAAAACAATAATATTAGCTATCCCACAATTTTTATTATAACCTTTCTTTAAGTTGAATTTAAACAACTCAGCTTCATGCTAAGTGATTCTATTTCTGATGTCATGGGTTTGGTATGCTAGCTATGTGTGGTAGGGAGAAAGAATAATTTGACCACTAAAATTTTTAAAACGTTATTCAAGTTGCACAAGAATACCAATTATACACACATGGCAATTTGAGAAGGCTGGTCTGGGGCACCAAGGGAAGCTGGCAAATTTAGCCAACAGGACAAGGCTGGATGGCTCACCGTGGCTCCCACAGCTAAACCTGTTCTCTTGGTAGCCTTTGAGAATGAAGCTTCCGCTAGAGATGTAGGGAATGCGTAAGCACTGGTAGGCAACGCTGTGGGGGAGATACAGGGGGGCCCAGGAGCTATGGGTGCATTCAGTCAAGGGTCTGCTTCTCTGGCCGACTGGGGCTCACTTCTGAGAAGGGAAGCTGATTTCTTGAAAGAGTATTACTCTCAGCTTCCTCCTGGGAGCTGTCGGAGGGGATGATTAACTACTATTAAATAATTCCCTCTTGCCGCAGAGTTGCTCTGAGGTCAGGCAATTCCACCGCCGGTCAGTGTCCCAGCTGTGCTGAAGGATGCTTCTCCTCTGACAAATACCTTCCTGGCCACTCCCCTAGATACATCTTCATACGTTTTTGTGGTGTACTCACAGTCCAAAAGCATTATTTCTCTCTCTCTGGCCCTCCCCCTCTCCCTCTCTGTCACATGCAACAGATATGGGGGACTTATCTGAGAGATGTTGACTCTAGAATCCTGACCAAAAATAAACCATGACGACTATGAGAAAAGTAATATAACTCAATTTTAATTCTTTTCTTTATGTGTGTGAATGGTTGGCGTAGACTATGTGTGTACCTGATGCCCTCAGAGTCTAGAAGGTCAGATGGGTGTGAGCCATCATGTGGGTGCTGGGACGAGAACCAGGGTCCTCTGGAAGAGCAGTCAGGTTCTTAGCCGCTGAGCCATCCCTCTGGCACCCATAAAATATTTTTCAACAGGTGCTGATGTTTTGAGGGAAGAAGTGCCGGTCAAGCTGCCAGGACACCAACACTCTTACTGATAAAATTTGCTTCATGACTAGTGCCTTTGGTAACCGTCCTCGAATTACTTATATTCTTGGAACTTAACTTGAAGACGTTATTATGTAGGACTGAAAGGCTGAGAATTCACACCCAAAATTGTCTGACTAAGGAAGTGGGGAAAGGTGGGGTGGGTTGGGAAGACAAATCTAATCAGGTCCTTAGCGATCCTAAGAGTTCTTGCCGTTCTAAGCTCTTGTTTACTGATCTGTCCTTCGTGACTGAGGCACACTATGCCAAACAGAAAGGTGTTTTTTTTAAAAATTTTCTCTGTTTTTTAAGAAAATGCAGAAGTAATTCCTGCCCGTACTCGTGAATGATGTCTGGTTTGAAAGAGGCAATTTATTCCCAATTTTGTGGGAACTGTGACCTTTGCAGATGAGCGAGTGTTGACAATCAGACCATTTTTTCCCCTCCAGCTTCGGCAGCAACAATGGGATTACGAAAGCAAGTTTGGCTCCTCGGAGGACTCAGAGATGGATCGATATTCCTCCGATTACAGTGGAGGTTCACGGCTGGTACTCAACTGACTTGACGAACGAAGCCACAGACCCGGGGCCCTAGTTTCTGCCTTAACCATTTAAGACAGGAGGTCCGAGGAGGTCTTGGTTTGGTTGGGTGTGCACCTAGGGCAGACCTTCTAGAAACGTCCCTGGGTTTCATCCCTCGTTCTTGTGTGTGTGTGTGTGTGTGTGTGTGCGTGTGTGTGTGCGTGTGTGTGTGTGTGCGCGTGCGCGCGCGCGCTGATAGAAAGGGGGTTTGTTATAATAGTAATTGAATGTTCCTTTGATGTAAATGCCAGACTCACATTCTGCTGCAAGAACCACACAAATGATGGTGTGACCGTCACCATGGTGGGCCCCAGAGCCATCCCGTCTGTCCTCTACATCTGAGAAAGACTTCTCTGTTTCCAGAGCCAGCCGTCAGAAGAGAAGGCCAGGTTTCCCTCCAGTCAAGGAAATCTGACTCGGCTGCCCGCTCCGCCTTCGGCTCCGCCCGCAGGCCTGCGCCTCCCTCTCCCCTGGCGGCTTCCCGGCGAGGTCCCCATGCGGACCTGCGGTCGCCGCGCAGCACAAGGCGCCCAAGGAGAAAGGCCCCGGAATAGACCCCTACTGGCAACCGGCGCTCCTGCGCTCCTGATCCAGCCTGTCCCCCAACTCAGGGCTCCTGTTGCACAGAAAACCCAAAGTCGCACCCTAACAATTAGCCGCGCCTCACACGACCCAGCCATCATCATCATTATTATTTTTCCTTTAGCCCCAGGTTGGGTTAAATACATTCGCTGGGAGCCATCTGGTCTGCTTCCCGGGAACCCTTCATGTGGTTTCCATTAAGCCCGCCAGAACCCTGCATTGAAAATGCTGCCGGGGCCGCTCAGGAGCGCCCCGCCCCCAATCCCCAGTCTGCCCTGCACGTGCAGAGCGAGGGGACCTCTGGGTAGGTGCCCAGGCTGGCACCCGAGGACCATGCCCTAGTGACTGCACGTCGCCACCCCTAGAAATACACTTACCCATGGCAAGGCTTTTTCACTGACCCAGTGTTCCGGTTTTGCCGCATGCAAGCCAGAGTTTGTTAGAATTCTGTTTCGATTCTAAAAATCAATGTCAACAGCTTTACAGACGAGTTTACAGAAATAACGTGGGCACAGAAACTCAGTGTGACCAGCCACATTGGTAGGGCTGAGTCTGCCTTCTACACCCGTCCCTCACTGCCCCTACCCCCAGAAGAAAAACAACAGAAAAAAAAAGATGTTAGCTTATGGAAAAATACTGCTTCACACAACGAGTTAGGGTTTATAGTACAGGATAAAGGAGGCCGACCCGATTTACAGAATCATAGTGCGCTGTATCTGGAAAGTTCTTTCGGGTTCATTAAAGATTAGTCAGTTTATTGAGGAGACTGGAAAATGGAGGGCCTTGGAAGGGTAACAAGACCTGTGAGGAACATACTGACAGTACTGTGGCCTAACGTTAGGAGGGAGTGGGAGGAGTCCTGGCCGCCAGGTACTTTCAGGCTAAAAGGACTCTGGTCAAAAGGGATTAATTTGTGGTGGCGTCTTGTTCCTCCCCTGAACTTCCCTCTAAACGGGGCTTCATCCCTTTCCTCGGTCCCCACCACCAGCCCAGGGCCCTCCCTCTCTTGTTTTCCTTGCTTTCCTTCTGTTCTCTTCCCACCCCCACCCTAGCCGGGTGATTTTATTTGGGATTTTAAAATGAAACCAGGTGCTGCATAAAACAAAGGCAAAGTAATAACAAGGAAAGACGATCCAACGCCTAAGGAATGTGCTGAGCTGTATGACTCAGGCTGTCCTGGCCAAGAACGAGGAGTGACACGGAGAGGTGGGTGGCACCGAGCAAAGACCATACATGGCAGCCCTGGCTTCCCCAGATAGGGTGGTCAAGGCAGCCTGTGAGTCACTTTGTAAAACCATTGCGGAGCAAGGCTTCCCAGGCCATCCAGGCTAGAACCAAAAGAGCGTCAGATGCCCCCCCCCCCCGAGGCGCCAGATCCGCGCCATGGGGCCCGGGCTACCCTGAGGTTTGGAGAACACATCCTAGGCCAAATGCCACCCTCTCCCTCAGGAAGAGGCAGGCTTAGCAGGACTGAGCCAAAGGTACTGGTGTCTTTAGGAGATGAATAATTCCTAGGCTTTGAAGTGGCAACGAAATTAGCAAGCATTGTGGGAGGGACAAGAGCTTGGGAGTGCTAGGTCTCAGGACTGCGGGAGAGCCTTGGGTGGGGGAGGAGGCTAAGGCTGCTCCTGGGAGCAAAGAGCGGAAAAACTTATGGATGATGAAGGGGATTCTGGGTGCCATTCCTAACACAGCCAAGAATAACTACCTCAAGGGGTGGGCTGTTCATAAACACTCAGGGAGACACCCAGGCAGACATCCACACATTCTGAGAATTCCTTTCAAATGAGCGCAGTAATGGAGTGAGGTGTACATTTCTTTTCTGTTACTAAGAGACAGGCTCAGAGAGCCAGGAGAAGGGTCTCCCAGCAGGGTGGTGGGCGGGGCCAGAAACTGGGTGACAAGGGTCTGCCAGGCTCCCTTCATCATCTTGCCTGAGTAGAACCAACTGGCCCATCTTCCTTCCCGGGTTCCTCCCTCCAGAGAATGCGGTCACATTTTGAATGAGAACTCTGACGTAAATGAGCTCCCACTCGTAGTAGCCTCACGGAATGGAGGCTTGCTTGCCCTTCTCCACTCTGTGGACCGCTGACCGCCAATGTTGCTGTTCTGTAATTTCAGGGAAGTCTCTGCTTAAGGTTGTCACTACTCACCTGGACAAACAGAGTCTAAGAGCTATAACCTCATAAGTATTTACAGTGTGAACAGGGTCCCTCCAGTTCTGCTGGAGAATGGGCCCATTCCGTTTTGTTTATGATGTGACATTAGGGTGAGTGGCATCCGTCATGTGGGTCGGCCCAGCACTCTGAAGCATGTTTATGGAGCGATTATGCCTGTGAAGGCTTGCTATATTTAGGTCTTCTCCGCTTAGCCCTCCTAAGTCCCCAAACAAGCAAAAAGCCAAGTGGCTGGTGTAGAGACGACTTGAGCCCTAATGGCGAGGCTCAGGCACTGGCCACACACCACAGTGGCATTTGAAAGATGGAGAGAGGTTTGTAAAATGGGAAGGTTAGTTACCAGTACAGTATTCCCCGTTAAGGTGGTTTGTTGGGCCTGCATCTCCCAGATGAGGGCACTCAGTCTAGGAGGCATTGACAGGTGAGCTTATGGAGTTCTCTCCTTTCCGAAGCTTCCTCCACCCCACAACAGCCAGGCAGGCCTACACTCTGTGCCCCGTGGCTCTGAAGGCAGGATTTGGTGGGGCTCTGTGACCCATTGAGGCAAAGGCTCTAGTGTAATTGGAGGCCTTCCGTCTTGGCCACAGCTGGCCCTGCGTTGGGGTAACAGCTGTTCACCATCCTCTGTGGAGGAATGGGCCCCCTAGTCTTCGGTTCCAAATGCTCTGGCCTGAACACTTCCTGCCAGACACAGGCCTACTTTAGGGCTGGTATTTGCCTCCCGTCGGTTTGGTCATCTATTGTTTATCCTGGGTAGGGCCAGGTCTTGGCACAAAGGGCATGAAGCCTTGCCAGTGTTTTATTTTTAGAGACAGGAAAATGCTTTCTGGCAGCTGTTCTTTTTCTGGCACACACGAGGGATGGTGTAAAAAAGTTCAAGTGAGAGATTCCAAGCCTTAAATTCATGGCATATGACATAGGCAATCACACTGTGGGTTTCTCAACAGAAACCGTGTGCAGCCTAACATTGTCTCTAGACAGCCCCCTGGGCAGAGCGGAGACCCTGCAGCTACCCGGGGGTGAAAGTCTTAAGGCCACAAGCCAGTCTGGACACCCCCACAGTCTCTTTAGAACATATCAGATGGTCTGAAATATTATTTTTTGATTCTCATTTTCACCCTTGTCAATCAGTGCAGAATCTAGTCCAAGTTGTTGGGAGAGAACAGGAGGTGGACTCCTCCCGCCAGCCTTCCCCAGACCCACTGACTTTGTAGTGCTGGCTGGAGAAGGCAGCTAGTCTCCACCAAGAAGCACACAGTCAGAATCAGGGACTGCATGTCTAAGTCTTCATGGGAATGATACTTTTCCAAATATGTCTCCCCCTTAAAACACACTTCTTTGTGGGTTCTGTATTCCAGCTACCGACAATCTTTCTGAAAGCTTTTCCTAAGTAGCAATGATGTGCAAAGCAAAACCAGAAAACAGAAAGAAAAGAAGGAAATTAAATTGTGCTTTCTTACCTTCTTTTCTTCCCAGCCTTTGGGAAAAGATTGTTTCTAATTATCAAAATAAAATAAATGTTTGATTCTTTCCTGCTCTTCTAGACCATGACTACTTTAAGGTTCGCTTTTCTTCTTGCAAGTGGATTCTCTTTCATTCTCGGTCGCTTCCGCATTGGAGAGTAGAGAGACGACAATTTCCCTGGGACTTGTGTGGCAATTCCCCCTTCCCGTGTGTGGGGGGGGAGGGGGCGGGGGGGGAGGAGTTTGGTTAGAAGTTTGAATTTAATTTTCCCGAGTATTTTTACCCCATGTCTGGTTGTTTTCTAGAAACTGCTGTGGTTCATATAAGTCTCTTGCTGATTATAATCTCTGAATCCTGAGTCCTGGTGCACCTTGAAGGATTGTTGCCGTCCCTCCCTGTCCCTTGGTGTTCTTGGTGAGGGTTATGAGGACCTGTTGATTTGGGCAGTTTGTTTCCCATGAGCCTAGCTGAGGGCTTGGGCTTGTCTTTAGCATGGATGTTGGGTGAGGAGGGGCAACCAGAAAGTTACTTGACCTGTGTGTGAAGGATTGAGGAGAGTAGAGGGGCTGTGGAGCTGGGTACAGGGAAGAAATTTAAGTAGAGAAAAGGAGAATAGTAAGTCTAGGGAAGGCCTGCCCGCAGCCCCTCACTACAAAGAGTTTCTGTTGGTTTAATAAAAAATATGGCTAAGGAAGATTTTTAATTTTTATGTGCATAAGTGAATGTCTACATGCTTGTGCACAGTTTACATGAGAGGTCAGAAGAAGGTGTCAGATCCCTTGGAACTGGAGTTACAAGCCCTGTGTGCCACCCTGCCCCGTGTGGGTGCTGGAAACAGAACTCCAGCCGCCAGCGGGAGCATCGAGAGCTCTTCACCACTGAACTGTCCCCAGCCCACCGAAGAAGTCAACCCTGACTGGACATAAAAATTCTCCTCTTCCTTTTGGTGTTTC